ATTCCCAGGGTACTTTAAGTGGTGAGCAAGACACATTGGCATTGAAAAGGAAATATGTTTTTTCAGGGAAAGACAAGGCTAAAGGGGGTGGGGGGAGAGGAGACAGTCCCTAATTATCCACTTGTGCAAATGCGAAGATATAAGTGTTGGGGAAGAGCAAGAAGGAACTGGATTGGCTATAGCACGTCATGGATCCGGTGAGGCTAGTGGGGTGGATGACGGGGGAATCGGGGCTTTGGAAGAAGGAAGAGGCCAAATTCCATGATCAGAATTACATGCTTACACCATCCTTGCTTGTCTTCTTTGTGCTTTGAGTTCTGCTTCAATTTGCAGAGGAAATTATGCAGGGGGATAGGAAGAGAGAATGAACCTTTCTTTTTTTCTCTGAGGGAACAAATTTGCTTCCCTCAAATACCTGGATTTTTGCATTCAGGAGGCTAGTAGAGTTTGTTGGTTCGTCTTCATGTTTGTGTGAGAAGGAAATCAAATCCCCCCCGCCCCATGTCAGCAGGAAGTCAAAACTTCCCATTTGTCTCATCCTACCTTACTCTATCTTAAAAAGCAATCAACACATATGGCTCAATGAATGAATTAATTAAGTAAGTAAGGATTATTCTCACATGCAAAATAAAAAAGCAGAAGCATGAGAGGGGATCTTTAAAATCGAAATAGCTGCCATACTTATTAACTATCAGGAAACGTACAATGAAGCAAGAACAGAGAAGCATTGCTCAATTCTTTTAGGGGAATCCTGATCTACTTTGCAGTATAAGGCCTGACGATTGCATTAGAAGGATGAAAATAAGAAGTTTACCTTCTCCACACCCTCCAGAGCAGTCACCTTTCCAAATTTATTTCGGATGAGGAAATCAAGGAGCAGCTTTGCTTTCTCACTACACCCGCTCTGATCTTCTGGAGCTGAGTCACGTCTTCCCAGCCTCACTTCCTCTCTTGCAATAGGAGCATCTCCCTGGGGAACCAGGTCTGCTTTGGCTCATATTGGACACCAGGGGACAGTATTGTCCCACAGAACCCCATTAGACATGGGGGAGGGGCAAGGAAATAAAACCAGGATTTCCTGATGGGGTTTCACTCCTGAGGCTGACGATTCTATTGGTTGGTGGCTTAAAATTCACAGAGGTGATCTCATGTGAGTTCTGCACCTCAAGAAACTTCTCTTCTCTCCACAAAACCAAGGCTGAATTCACAATAGTCCTTCTTTTTTGAACATAGCACTAACTGAATTTTTAGGAGACCACAAGGTGACCTATTCAACTTTTTCAGACAAAATGTTTGGTCATAAAGTATTTTTTTGGTTTTACTTTGTGACTTGCAAAGATGCAGTCCTTGT